ACAGTTTAATTGATAGCTTGCCATCTTAGTTCGAAACCTGATCACCCAAGGTCTAAATCCCAATACCCATGAGTTCTCCTTTCCAATAGTTTAAAAGTATCATTTTTGTTATTTGCATTCTAGTTTTAGTTAACTTCAAAACCAACCAAACATTCGATTGCACTTAGATTAAGTTAGTACTTGCATTCTCGGTGCTTTTAAATCCCTCAGAACTGGTTCGACAATCATCTATACTACAACATTTGCCTTAGGAGCCTCAAAAACTCCTAACATCAATGAGCAAGAAATAGGCGGTGACAACAACATATGAAGAGAATGGTCTCTCTCAACTCTGTCTATGTATGTGAAATGAAAAAAATATAAATACAAACAAATGTCAAAATGCATATAATTATAGCTTTTGGGAAGGTCTAAAGCTTTGGTGGGTATAAGATTATCATTATTGTCTGAAACTGATATGGGTCTTGTTTCTTTTATATGGACCACCATTCATGAATATCCCTATATGTATAACTTTTCTTTTTTTTGCTAACTTATATGTATAACTATATAATATAGTGAAGCATCTTTTAGGATGATGGTTTAAACAATGTATGTGGGGAACTTCTCTACGTCATTATGTGATATGTCTCCAGCCCTCTTGTCATTTTTCCTTCTTTTTAAAACAAACAAAATTCAAGAAAGGAAACATCTCTTATATTTTTTTTTTTTGTGATACAACAAAGCCTCGTGCGTCAATTTTTATTGACATAAGTATACATTGGTTAGGCATTTAAACTCGTTTTTATAATGTCAACCAAAACAAAGTGGTTATTCCCATGCCCTTTATAATGGGCCATTTCTCAAACGGGCCTTTTGTTTCGGCCCATGTGTAGTAATATCTTCAAACCTAGACGGAGGTTTTCTGATTCTCAACCCTACCCTCCTCCTCACTCCACCGCCTGCGTCACCATCAGCCACCTTCCCCTCTCCGTTCAAAAACGGATGCAACAACAACTCCGAAGCGCTTCCTCTCTCTCCACGTTCCCTTGCGAAACACTTCTCCATAAACAACCTTGCGTCACACGGCACATCCCTTGGAATCTCCGGTGCCTTTCCACTCAACAGACGAGACTTTATATCATCAACACAAACCCCTACCCATGGATGCTTACCGTTATACATCTCCAAAACCACACAACCTAACGACCACAAATCTAGGGTTTTCTCCACTCTACCGTCGCGTACCGACTCTGGAGACATGTATAGAGGCGTTCCGACAAAAGGAGAGCTATCTTCCCAACAAACAGACTCGTCTCCCGCCTTAACCGTTAGTCCAAAATCAGAAATCTTTAACTCGTAAGAACAAAACCATGTTTCTTGATCGTAACGTGGGAAGAGAAGGAGATTCGCCGGTTTAAGATCGCAATGGACGTAACCGTGATCATGAACCGAAACCAATCCTTGTAGAATCATCCGTGTGAAGTCTTTGATAACCGAATCAGATAATCTTCGGTTTATACGGATGTACTCGGTTAGGTTACCACCAGCTGCGTATTCTATTGCCATCTTGTAGACTTTCTTGCCGGTAGAATCGGTTTCTTGACGCAGAGAGTTACCGAAAGATTGCACGATTCCGTGACATCCTCTGAGTTTGGTTAGGATACGAAACTCTCTTTCGATGGAGTTGTAATCTTCGGAGTCTGTGGTTTTAACGGCGTTGTGGAACGTTGTGCCGTCGTCTTTGGTGTAACTGAAGAGATCTACGGAGCCGTACGCACCCTTTCCTAGAGTTTTGATGAATGTCGCATCGGGTTTGGTTTGATCCATCTTTGGTTTCTTTCTGTAACGTCGCATGTTTTCGTGATTGAGTTGCGTTTTGATCAAATCTTTAATAGTTTACTTTCTTTATGTGTCTTGTTAGTGAAGTGCGGTATTTATAAAACCTAGAGAGAGTCGAGTTACGTATTAAGAAAGGAAAATCAAAACTACTGAAAACAAAAAAAAAAAGGAAATATGTAGTATCCTTCTAAAAGGACGTCTTGATCTTTTGTCAAGACACCATTAGAGATTGGGCAATGAAAAGGAAACTGTTGAGAAATCATAATGTAAATATGCAATCTCCTGAGCCTTTACCTCTCTTCTCTCTGAATTTTTTATTTTTTTATTTTTGCTTTGTCTTGTTTAATTACATTTTGTTTGCTTCTATGTGCATGCTCTGATTATTGGCGTAGTACTCATGAGAAAATTTGCTTTCTTTTAGAACCTGAATGCTCTTTTTACATTACTGATGCAAATGGGCTAATGTAATTGGTACAAATTAAAAGTCATAAAAATGGTTTAAGATGACTCACTTCCCTCACATATGCAACAACTAATGTGGCATTAGAATCTTTACCAGCTTAGACTAATTCATTATGTTGTGACAAATGATAATCTCTCTACGTTAATAAGTAACTTTTTCAAGGATGATTAATGTTTATTGTGTGGAGGTTGTTCATAAGCTTGTTATAATTCTTCCTCATAGCCAGGTGAATGAAGCAAAAGATCATGTTGGTATTTAGTGGCAGGATAGATTAATTATCTTGAGGAAAGGTTAGAATGTTTTTCATAAGATTCTAATAATCTTTGCTAGATCTTATTTAGTTGGTCTGTAAGACACAAGGTGGTAATGGCCTTGTCTGTGTATGTGGTAGCTTCATTTTTTTATGGTTTCTTATTTTGGTTTTTGCTTGGAGGCTTGTCTCTGTTGTGCTGCCTTAAAAGCTTTCTTGATTTGTTTTAGGATAGCCTAGTATTGGATTATAATGCAATACTCTATTTCTGTATTCAATGGCCAAAGCTACCAAACTCACTAGAGAATATTTACTCATGGAAGGATGTAACCTTGTTGGTTATCTGAACCTTAATCAACCTCAACAATCAAATACTAAAAACATCAATATTTGTGTTTAACTAAGCTAAGCCTTTATTAGCAAACCGCATCATTACCAAGTGAGGAAGCGCCAAAGAATTATTCTCTTAATAACAAAAAGGTTTATACCGTTTCTTTGACTAAACATATGAAGCAAAAGAACCAGAAGGGACACTTTTCAATCTCTCAATCCTTTTAAGCTCTTTAGCCACATCAGTCATGTTTGGAACATCTCCAAGACGACCAATGCATCTCAATGATAGCTCAAGAAATGGGACTTTAATCTCAAATGGAACACAACCCTCATTCTCTTTTCTCTTACAACCCATTTTATTCTACATGACCCAAGGGACTTGAAATTACAACAACGCCATTAATGAATGAATAACACACACCATTAGATCAAAAACCCTCAAAGCTTTGTAAGCCACACGATTTGGGCCTCCTCTCTCCTCTCTTTTACGTACAATATCTTCCTCCTCCCCTTCAATGCACGACAACAACCATCTCTTTCTTCAATTCTTCACCAAACAACTTCTTCTTCATCAAATTTTATTTGTCTTCAGATTGTCTTTCAGAGNACATGAGGATAATAAGAGTGATTAAGTTAATAAGAGAGATTAAAATTCAATATATCCATTAGAATCACTGAAATTGTGGAAGGATGATGGTATAACGAATAGGTCTACTTGTACAACTAGTATTACTATATGTATTCATACAAAACGTACAACTAGTTAAAGTGGTACAACTATTAATATGTGTAGAATATGTATACCAATACAACTAGTGTTACTGAGATGGTTCATACAAAACGTACAACTCGTAAAACTGATAAGTTTATTAGTAACCTATACAATAGGTCTATTGGTATAACTAATATCACAAATTAAAATAGTATAACCAGAATTACTAGTATAACTGTTTTATTGAGTGTAACATGAAAACATGTATAAATGGTACAACTAGTACAAATATCATTACTGCTGCGTGTATAACTAGTACAACCAGTACAACTATTAATTGGTGATGTTGTTTATTATGCTTTTCAGGTAAATATGGATAATAACGGACGTGTGGTGATATATTTTGATCAATGGGGTAGTTATTCAGATGTGGGGGATGAAGTTCGATGGAAGCGGAAAGATCGACATATTTCTACATTAGTGCTTACGAGGAGAAGCTATGAGGAGGTGACTTACTCTTACATATTTCTACATTAGTTTGTATAACTACGAAAACTTGTACAACTACAGATTGTAATACCAGTACAATTGGAACAACTTCTTTATTAATATATTTAATTTTTCCCATTTGGCTTTCTATATGAAAACAACAATAAATAAAACAAGTTGGAATGTCACTAGAAAGGTAAATTCTATTTATTTTAATTTTGATCAGATTTTTTCGGCAATTATTACAATATCACTTAAGTTTCTGTTATTTACCTTATACTTTTAGGGTTTGTTTACTTGTTTGCTCAATGTATTTTTTAAAAACGTACTAGTAATATATTTTAACAAAATTAATGTTTCCATAATATGTGGACATAGACACATAAATAAATGGATGTAGTACAACTAAAATATATATATTAACTAAGTGGTACAACTAAAAGTTTCAAATTCTCTATCAAAATACAACTATGTACACGCTTGTACAACTCCAAACCCAGTACAACTATCTATAATCTTGTACAACTAAAATACTAGTACAACTACATGTTATCACATTTATCACGTTTTAGTTGTTTATCACGTTTTAGATGTGTTGCACGTTCTAACAATCATAGTTGTACGTTCTAACAATCATAGTTGTACCTTCAATTCTATAGTTGTCTTAGTTGTACCCATTTGAAATTTTTGCCATAGTTAACCTGGTTGTACTAATTATACTAATAACCTGTCACAATAAAATGCATAGAAAAAATTACTACTTAAATTACTACTAAATCACAAACAAAAGCAACAACAACATTAGTCCACTTTCAAAGCATCACCAACATTCAAATGCAACACCAACATTCAATCATGCTATTTATATCAATCATATTAATCTACTTTTTGTGTCTATTAGGCTTTGATTTTTTATGAATGTATATTTCTGTGGATAACATAAAAATATTTTCCAAGTATGTGTAATGCACATAGAAAATCAAATATAAAATCATTGGTATGTCATTTTTTCATATTAAAATATGCAAGTTTTACTATGTTATTACTCTATATGTGGTACTACTACCACGGTTAAACCTGGTGCATAAGTTTGGACTATTATTGTTGTAGTACACCAAATATAAATCTTATACATCACTCTCAAATTCGTGAAGGGTTCTACATCATCTTTGCAGTATATTCTTGTAAATCTTTTTATACTGAAACTTTTCAAGTCTCATACTATAACTAATACAACTAACTAAACAAAACATTATCCAAATAAATATTATATAAGAAATATAGTCATGTATTTTGGGACATGCGTGAGAGGAAAGATGAAAATAATGTGTCTCATTTGTTATACATCATTCTCTTTTCTAGCAGTATTCATACGCTGAAAAAAAAATATAACCAAAGTTGTACTAGTTATAGCGTTTTAGTTTTACTAATTATACATGTTATATTCATTATAGTTATAGTATAGGGTATTATAAAACATATTTGAACATACTATAAATTTGTGCTGTTTTGTAGTTGCCTTATTCGGCTTCAAGAACAGAATGAAGATGATCTTTTCCCCTAAATAGTACAACTAGTACGACTACTAAGACAAAATTATTATTCAAATAAAATATTATAGAAAACAAACTATTAACATATTTTGACACATCTAAGCGGAGAAGATTAGACCAACATTTTCATTGACTATGCATTATCTTCTATAACATCACTAATACGCTGAAAACAAAAACCAAATATCACCATATTAGTTGCAAAGTTGTACTAGTTATACGCGTTCTACTTGTACTAGTAGTACTAGTTATATCCAACCTAGTTGTACTAGTTATATGCGTTATAGTTGTACTACTGGAACAACTTGTATTTTATACAAGATATGTAATATTGGTCCAACTAATTTAACTTCTTCATTATAAAAAAATTTAAAATTTTATTTTGTTTCCATATGAAAAACTAATCAACTGACCAAATGGCTATGGGTTTATAATATTTTCTCTAACTATTTTAATTTTTAAATAGTCATTTTGGTAATTACTACATTATCACATAAGTTCCTATGTTCCACTTTATACTTTAAAGGTTTGTTTACTTGTACAACTTGGATTATTTTCGTAGTCCAAACATGAATGCATATATATATACATAATTTTCCGAACTCATAATGATTCTTACATCAATTTTTTTTGGAAATAGTACAACTAGTATAAATAGTACAATTTGTAAGCAAATCATTATCAAAATCAAATATTATTGAAAATAAATTATTCATGTATTTTGACACATGCAAGCACAGAAGGTTAGATCAACATTTCTCATTGGTTTTATACCATCCAATTTTCTAGCATCATTCATATGCTGAAATAAAAACCAAATATCACCATATTAATTATAAAGTTGTACAAGCTATATGCATGTTAGTTGTACCAGTTATACGCATTATACTCAATGTATTTGTACTAGTTATGTTTGTTTTAGTTGAATTAGTCATACTAGATCGGGTTGTACTAGTTATACTAGTTCGGGTTATACTAGTTGTACTAGTTTGAATCGTACTAGTTGTACTAGTCTGAGTCATCCTAGTTGTACTAGTTTGAGTTATACTAGTTGTATCAGTAATACTCTGCGTTTTTCGTTGTTATGAATCTCGTACGAAAATGATGAAATTTGACTTTAAACAAGATATAATTGATTAAATATGATTATGGGTTGATCGATTTGGTATAAGAAAAAGAAAATTAGTGAACATGTGAAGTAAATTTTTGGATTTT